CCTCAGGCAGGACTAGAACTCACCATCTCCTGGTGATCAGCACAAAGTCACCCAGCTGGCTTTCATGCCTCAGGCAGGACTAGAACTCACCATCTCCTGGTGATCGGCACAAAGTCACCCAGCTGGCTTTCATGCCTCAGGCAGGACTAGAACTCACCATCTCCTGGTGATCGGCACAAAGCCACCCAGCTGGCTTTCATGCCTAAAGTATGGCTAGAACTCCCAGGTTCCTAGCTCGGTGCCTTCATCACCACACCAAACTGACTCTTATCCCATTTCTATTTCCAGCCTAAAACCTAACAACTACCCTGCTCAAGCCTGTTGTGTTCGTACACTCGACAATCCCTCAGGGAAGAAGACGGATTGCCCCAGAGGGTCTTGAGGCCAGGCAAGGGCTGGGGAGGATGGGACTCACCTCCAGGGTCTGCTCCTGAGAAGTCAGAGTGTTGATGATCCGAATGTGCCGGGTTTTTGCAGACAAGGTGCCGATTTCGTAAAAGGGGTTCTTCCACCAGGGCACCCCAAAATCATTGGCCCAGTCCGAGCGCGGAAGAGGTGGTGGGATGTGCACAAACCGGCCCTGGGGTGTGTAGTACTTCAGGCAGCCTGTGCGGGGATCGATGTGTGTCTGTATCTGCAAGGAACAGGGTGGAAAGCCCAGACTCAACCATCATCTAACAAGGATGGTCCCCTCCTCCAATCCACCGAATGCCACCCTACGAAGGGCTCCAAATTTAACAGAGATCTTCTCATTGTAAGAGTAATTTAAGTTCTAAGTCAAAAGATGAAACCTTTCAAACATTGGCTTAGGATCAGAAGATCTTTAGTTCTCAGGTGGAAAAAGAAACGGGCACTGTGGAACGCAGGCAGGCAGTCCTCAATTTACGGCCGTCACTGAACCCAGAAGAGGATAAATACATCGATACGATAACTAAACAGATGGATGGGTGGCCCAAGGCGCTTTTTCAAAAAGGAAAAATCAAGAAAAGTCCAGTTGCCTTTTGAAAAAGCACCTTTTGGCACAACCCTGGGCCTGGATGACGGGAGAATCTCCACAGACAGGTCCAACCCCTTTTTCACTTAAGTGACCAGTTGTAGGTCAAGGACCACCTGCGGGCATTTCCCGAGGCCCGCTTCCTGGGTCTTGCAAAAGGGTCTATCCAGAAGCCTCGCCCACCCGGCCTGGCGTCACCGGATGGACCTGCAGACACTCACGTCTTTGGTCCTGGGGTTGAACCAATGGCTGATGTCTTTCCCTGCCACTTCCAGGAGGGGCTTCATGAGGAGGTCCCCTGCACGGAGAGAGAAGCCAGGATCCGTATTAGAGACACTCTGTTCTGCCATTTTTTTGGGGGGGAGAGGGGGTGTCCCAATGCCCCCACCCCCTTATAGCACCTTGGACATGCCTCCCCTTCCTTGTCTATCCAATGACCGCAGGAGCATCCTTTCCCCCCTCTCCCGAGTCAGATTAGACAGAGTTGGAAGGGACCATGTAGGTCATCTAGTCCAACCCCTCGCCCTAAATCATTCGTGACAGATGGCAGTCCTTGGGGGTCAAAGTGGCAGCCACCACCACACAATGGAAATGTGGAAAACTGCAGAAAAAGGCCAGCAGTCCATCAGTTCTGCCCTTTTATTTTAATTTTATTATTTTCTTTTGATTTTTAAGTTTTGCTGTGGGGATGCACATATGCTTGTGGGGGCAATGCACGTTAATAAAAAAAATTAATTGCATGGTTGAGGCCGCCATCTTGACTTTTTTGACCTCCCCCGAGCTATGCAAGCCTTGAATTTGGCCCCCCAGCTCCTTTCTTCCCTCACTGCGCTTTTTTCCACTCCCTTCTCGGAGAACCACCCTTGCCAGCTGCATCTTTGCCAGTAAGGATGCCTTCCTCCTCTTCCTTCTCCCCCGTTCAGGTAGACTGCCTCTCCACCTGGAGGCTCCACTTGGGGGAGCCCTGCCACCGAAACTCCGCCCCATTCCCCCGCCCTTACCCCTGTACTCTTCGGACAGGGGGCTGAGGTCGTACACCCGCCCCAGGTAGGAGACCCACAGGTCCCACGGCCGGTTGTGCACCGACACCTCCCGCGGCGTGAAGTAACGCTGCCGGAAGGAGCCCTCCATGGTAATCGCCTGGGCGCATGCGCCGCGTCCCGCGCTGCCCTTGGCAACGCGCTGCCGCAAAGCCCTACGGGAAAACGCAGTCTCGCTCGTCTCCCCCCCCCAAGGGGCGGTGCCGAAGGAGAAGCCGGATGCGTGCGTGCGTGCGTGCGTGCGTACGAGCATCCATGCGGAACGCCGCCAAAGGCCGCAGGGCCTTGTGGGAAGGGTAGTTTCCTTGGCAAAATGGCGGCCTCACCGGCCCAGGAGCCCAAGCTGAGGAAGCCGCCTCCGCCTCCGGTTCCTCGGGAATCGGATGAAAACGGCTGCGGGAACTGCGTCCCCGAGGTGCGGGGAAGGGCCGGGGCTCGGGCGGGAGTGGGGGGTGGGGACACAGAGCCTTCCCCTCGAGGGCAGAGCTAGAGACTTGAAGCCGCCTCCCATCGATGAGGGACTACAAAGCCCATCTGCTAAGTTGGGAAGCGGGCAGCCGCCAGGAAGCTGTAGTCTCTCAATAATATTTATAATATTACATATGTGTGTGTATAATAGCTTAATACAATTATTTTTTATAGTTAATATAGATTACAGTGTATTAAATGTTTATTATGGTTAATATATATTGTGTTAAATAGTTATAATGTATTTTACACACACATACACAATTATGTATATATTATTATATTATACTATAATACAGCGTAGTTCTCGAATTACGGCCACAATAGAGCCCTCAATTTCTGTTGCTAAGCGAGACAGTTGCTAAGACAGTAATTATAATGGATTAATATAGTTGATGCACATTAAGTATAGTATCTAAATCTATATCATAGTTCATCTATATTATTTTATTATATCGTTATGTATTTTTATATACGTGTATATATAGTACTGCATTAGGTATACAAATACTAAATTATAGTATATAGCATTACAATGTAGTATTTACATTATAGTATATAGTATAAATTTAAATTATACATTTTATAAATTATAAATTATAGCATTACAATGTAGTATTTACATTATAGTATATAATATAAATTTAAATTATAAATTATATAAATTACAAATTATATAAATTATAAATTATAGTATATGGCATTACAATGTAGTATTTATATTATGGTATATAGTATAAATTTAAATTATAAATTATATAAATTACAAATTATATAAATTATAGTATATAGCATTACAATGTAATGTATGGTTTTGTCATATCTGAGGGAGATGAGCAAGAGGTGGGAATTATAAACATGCATCATTATATATAAAATCTTCATACTGGGTTAATAAAATTAATCATGGATAAAGAGGAACGTTCCGCCTCATCCCGTTGGCGTGAATCCTGGTTTTTACCAAATTTCCTGTTCATCGTCATAGTCTTCAATCTTATTGAATCGCCAGTTTTATGCCACAATCTTATTTATTCCTTTATTAAATTTGTGTGTTGCCCATCTCACAATCAAACAACTCTGGGGTGGTTTATTATGACACCCAGAGTCGTTCGATACTGAGATGGACAGCTTATAAATTTAATAAATGGATAAATAAGATTGTGGCATAAACTGGCCGTGGAAGTGCCAGAGTGGCCACTGACTCATTGATTGATTGATTGAATGATTAGCCCTTGGGCCTTATCAAGGCAACTGACTCGTATTTATGACAGTTACAACGTCCCCTTTCATGACCTGAGAAGCAAAGTCAACGGGGGGGGGGGGGGGGCCAGATTCGCTTAATGACCGTGTTCCTCATTTTAAAAAATGCAATGATTCACTTAAGAATTATGGCAAGAAAAAAAAATCGTAACCATGGGGCAAAACTCGCTTAACAGCTGTCTCACTTAGCAACGGAAATGTTGGGGCTCCCTTCTAATTGCAAGCTGAGGACTACCTGTACTTGTGTGGAAAAGCCATCCATACAACAGCTCTTTAAAAACACCAGATGCTGCCTCAGGTGCATAATATTAACCTCCCCCAGCCTCTCTTGAGGACTAGTGGCTTGATCTCATTTTGGAAAATTGGGAGGAAATAAAAGCTGCTCTCCTGGACTTGGAAAGTATATTTTCTGGGTTTTTCTGGCAGGACCCAGTTGAAGAAACCGCTGACTCGCCTTACTTGCGCGCCCGTCGTAAGTTGGAGAACCTCCTGAACAAGAGCCTGCGGATTCGTATGACGGACGGACGGACCCTGGTGGGCTGTTTCTTGTGCACTGACCGGGACTGCAATGTCATTTTGGGTTCTGCCCAAGAATACCTGAAACCCACTGGTGAGTCCCCCCCCCCCCACTGGCCCCCGGCCTGGTCTCTGGACAACTGCACCCTGGTTTGTCCCACTAAAATGCCGTAGATCTCTTCAAAAGTCAAGTATTATGTGGGGTGCCCTCTGAGCTTGGGGGTTTTCTTGCAGACGTTTCATGACCCAGCTACATAACGTCATCAGTGCTAGAAGGGAGAGAGGTTTGTGGAAAGAAGGGGAGGAAGGGGGAGGAGGAAGAACTATGGGGTCCTTAGTGGTCTCTGAGTTTGGTGGTTTCTTGCAGATGTTTCATGATCCAGCTAAGTAACATCATCAGTGCTAGAAGGGAGTGGTGTTTGTGGAGTGGAGAAGGAGGAGGAAAAGTATTGGGTCCTTGGGGGTTTTCTTGCAGACGTTTCATGACCCAGCTAAGTAACGTCATCAGTGCTAGAAGGAAGTGGGGTTTGTGGAGTGGAGAAGGAGGAGGAGGAGGAGGGGGAGAAGTATTGGGTCCTTGGTGATTTTCTTGCAGACGTTTCATGACCCAACTCCGTAACGTCATCAATGCTAGAAGGGAGTGGGGTTTGTGGAGAGGAGGAGGAGGACGACGACTGTGGGGTCTTTGGTGCTCTCTGAGCTTGGCCGGTTTTTCTGCAGATGTTTTGTGACGCATCCTCCTGCCCTTCTCCCCTCTGCAAATCTCCCACCCTTCTAGCCCCAGTGATAGCAATAGGCAGAGGTGGGCTTCACACAATTTAACGACCGGTTTGCCTAGTGCAGAACCGAAAACACACGGCAATTTCACGCACATGGGCTTCCAGCACATCTTCTCAGGCAGCCGCAGTAGAGCGGGCAAGGCGTGTAAATCAGCTGGCCTTCCTGAGTGATGGTCGGGACTACCAGTACGGGCGAACCAGTCAGAACCAGCAGCGACCCACCTCTGGGAACAGCCCTTAGGCTTATATTCTGCTTTATAGCCGCCTCTAAGTGGTTTACAGCCTATTTGTCCCCGACAATCTAGGTCCTCATTCTACCCACCTCAGAAGGACGGAAGGCTGAGTCAACCTTGAGCCTGGTGAGATTCGATCTTTCCCAGTTGCAGGCAGAAGTAGCCTGCGGGACTGTACCCTAACTATTGCGCCAGCAAAAGGCTCATGATGTAACCAAGTTGGGTCCTGAGACGTCTGCAAGAAAACCACCCAGCACAGGGAGCATCAGGGACCCCAGAGTCCAACCCTGAGCTACAGATGTCCCCTTCAATAAGTATTTCTATGCTGTGGCCTGACCGAAAGGCACGGGATCATGTTGGCAGTATTTCAGGGATGGGGAAAGGAGGGAGACCACCTTTGTATCCCTACTGATAAGAAGACCTTCCCCAAAACCAGCCAGGGTGAGCTAGATTATCTTCAACAGCCCCTTGAAATTCTACAAGGAAAAAAATAAAACCAACCACCAGAACTTCTGGGTGTTTTGGAGAAGTGAAGCAAGGTTGGTTAGGATCAGAGCCCCCCTCCTCCTTCAGGATGGGACTCACTCTCTGTGTCTCTCTGTCTTTCTATCTTCTCTCTCTCTCTCTGTTTCCCCTGTCGCCTTCAGACTCCTTCTCAGCGGGAGAACCCCGAGTGCTGGGCCTAGCGATGGTTCCCGGGCATCACATCATCTCCATCGAAGTCGAGTTGGAGAGCCTGAACTCCTTGCAGTACTTCTGAAAGGGCCCGTCGCTGGAAAGCAGCCGCGTCTTGAGACGTTTTCCAAACACAAGAAGAAGGAGACGGAGAAGATCTTTTTTTTAAAAAAGAGGGAGATTTCTTCCACCTGTTTGCTCTCCCTCCCCTGGGACAAGGCCCCGGGAAGGGTGAAAACGACACTCAAAAGGTGGCCCCCCCTTCTGCCACCCTAAAACATGGTAAAAATCGGAAGATCCCCCTACCATCCAGGTCCTGAGAAACATTGACCCAAAAGTACCTTTTGTACCTGCCCGTTTTTGGTTAAACCTCAAATTCTGCACCCGTGCTGTTTGTTTGGCAGTGCCTGGGAAACTCATAACTATTTTCTTCTGCCAAGGAACACTTACCCTCTTGGCAGAACCCAAGAATATTTGCCGGATCTTTCAGGATCCAGTGATCCAAATGATCCAAATCATGAAAACCTGGCTTAGGTTGCCAGCAGATTGACAAAAGAGTTTGGGGGGGGGGGGCGTGGGAAGGAGGAACGTTAGCCCCCAAGGAGGAATTTCCCAGAGGTGTAAATATCCTTTTTAACTTAACAGCAGGCAGAAAATGGCTTGACTGATGAGCTTGTTCCTTCCTTATTTCCTGCAGAAAAATCTCCCAACTTCCCAGCCTTGTCAAGCTCTGATGTTTCCCCTGCTGCCCATTTTGTTTTTAAATTTACCAAATGCTCCCCCCCGAATCTTTTTTTTAAAAAAAAAAAACAGCGTGGCTTTGGTGGGTGTTCCCTTTTCTCCTTTAAATCAGAATATATATATTTTTAAAAGGGGGGTGTGTGTGGAGAAAGCCCACTGGTCTGTTGGAGGCAAAGCTGGGCCTCCACCGTCTTAAACTTTTAAAGTTAGTCAGAAAAGGGGAACCTTGAATGTTCCTGGAAAATGAATAGAATACTAGAATAGATTAGAACAGAATTAGGATAGGAATAGGAATAATTATAGAACAGAATGGGAATAAAATAGAATAGAATTAGGATAGGAATAGGAAGAATAGAATAGAATATAGGATAGGATAGGATAGCAGAGTTGGAAGGGACCTTGGAGGTCTTCTAGTCCAAGCCCCTCCTCAGGGGTTTGGAAACCCTACACAATTTGAAAGAAGTGGCTGTCCAGTCTCCTTAAAAACTTCCAGTGTTGGAGCATTCACAATTTCTGGTGGTGAACTGTTCTAACTGTCAGGAAATGCCTCCTTAGTTCTAAGTTGCTTTTCTCTCCTTGATGAGCTTCTACCCTTTGCTTCTTGTCCTGCCCTTCAGGTGCTTTGCCTCATGCCCTAACAATGGAAAGCAGTTTTTGTTGTTTTTTAATTACAATGTCTCTCCCCCCTCCCTCCAAGAGCAGGAAGCCATCCATCCATCCATCCATCTTTTGAATTTTTCCAACAAAAGCCATGCTAAGGCAAGAGTTTAAAAACTTGAATTAAGGAAGGCCCGTCTGTCCCGTGGATTTCGCTTTGCCGTCTGGCTTCCCCCCCCCCCCCCCCCCAAAAAAAGGCCCGGATGGCCCAAAAGCCCCCACCCCTCCCCCTTTCTCTGGCCTCCCCACCCTGGCAGCCTTGCCAAAGGGGGGGGGCGGGAAAACCCGCCTTGGGAAGAGGC